ACCAAACTTTACACTTGGCACAATGCAGTCAGACAAGTACCGTTCTCCTGGCAACCGCCAAACCCAGACCCGTCCATCAGATTGCCAGATGGAGAAGCGCGATTCGTCACTCCAGAGAACGCGTCTCCACTGCTCTAGAGTCCAGTGGCGGCGTGCTTTACACCACCGCATCCGACGCTTTGCATTGCACTTGGTGATGTATGGCTTGGATGCAGCTGCTCGACCATGGAAACCCATTCCATGAAGCTCTCTGCGCACTGTTCTTGAGCTAATCTGAAGGCCACATGAAGTTTGGAGGTCTGTAGTGATTGACTCTGCAGAAAGTTGGCGACCTCTTCGCACTATGCGCGTCAGCATCCGCTGACCCCGCTCCGTCAGTTTACGTGGCCTACCACTTCGTGGCTGAGTTGCTGTCGTTCCCAAACACTTCCATTTTCTTATAATACAGCTGACAGTTGACTGTGGAATATTTAGGAGCGAGGAAATTTCACGACTGGATTTGTTGCACAGGTGGCATCCTATCACAGTTCCACGCTGGAATTCACTGAGCTCCTGAGAGCGACCCATTCTTTCACAAATGTTTGTAAAAACAGTCTGCATGCCTAGGTGCTTGAATTTATACACCTGTGGCCATGGAAGTGATTGGAACACCTGATTCCAATAATTTGGATGGGTGAGCAAATACTTTTGGCAATATAGTGTATATATATATATATATATATATATATATATATATATATATATATATATATATATATATATATATATATATATAAAACTTTGGCAACCTTTATTCCCTAAGTTGGTATGTGGCTAAATTTCTACTTCACTGCAGTAAAAAAAAAACAAAAAAAAACACGTGTTTTTTTGTATTGGCCTGTAGAAAAATGCACATACCAAATGGCTCACAAGAAGTGACTGTGGATGAGATTACTGCGCGTACGCATCCCCGCAGCATTGGCATGTTGCTCCACAGGCGCAGGGGGGAGGTCGGGGTTCTACGGTAGGGCGTCAGGGCGACATGGCATTTAGAACGTCGGACAGCACTTCTGAAAAACGAGATTGGGAGATCCCAGCTTTCGCTGCAACCATACGCTGGAATGACCCAGATGCAAAAAAGTGCAATGTTGCAAGGAGTTTTGTGATATCTGGTATTGCGTGGGTCCTCCTTGTGGCTGGCTCCAAATCCATTCGGAGTTCCCCCAACAGCTCCAAAATGGCAATGCTGAATAAACGATATGTTTTGATTATCGTTTCCTCGTTCATTCCAAAAATATTCACACGGAGTGAAAAAATGCGTTCTCTGCGTCTCCTTGCTTCATTTCGATGTCTCCTTCTTGCGACAATAACCGCTGCCATGTGTGCGCAATTACGCATACAGACCATTTTCACCTTCTTTTGAAACATGTTAAATATAGAGTCAGATATCGTTAGCAAAATTGCTTTCAGGTTTGATAAATCACTTTGCGAGTGCTAAATTAATATATTTACATGTTCTCCTCCCACAAGACGCACTTTTGCGTGTAAACGCCCCATATTGCATATTCATTGCAGAAAAAGTACTAAATTGATAAGAGGCGCTACTTAGCACGTTTTAAAGACCAAAACCTTTTAGTACGCTGTTGATAGATCAGTTTGTACATTTTTTAGCGTGCGCAGTGAAATAGCTCACGTTTTAATACACGCAAACCTTTGATAGATCCGGCCCTAAGTGTATAAGCTTTTCCATTTTGACAACGAGACTGACTATAAAGAATTAATGTTTTTTTTTTTTTTGAATTTTTTTTTTTTTATATATATATATTTATCACACACACAAACAAACTTTCTGTGAGTTTGAAATGATTCTGTTGTAATTTTTGGTTTGAATGTGATTGGAATGGATGTAAGAAATACAGAGCTTAATTAGGATTTAACAGTTTTGGGGAAAAAAAGAACACCGGAAAAAAAAAAAAAATCTTTATTCCAACCTGAAATAACTGAGTTCTTCTGGGTGAGAGAGGAAAGTGTTTGTGATGCTCAGCAAGGATCCTGGTCCAGGACAGAACTCACTCTACTAACCACCTTGATCAGTGGTGTTCTGTTCCCCTTGATGTTGCAACACCTTCAACAGAACTCAGAATAAATCATTGCAAATGCCACCACAGTATGGTTCAAGTTTTTTTTTTAAAGTTTCCTGTACAATGTGAAGCGCCTCAGTCTCCTCAGTAGATGGCAGTGACATGCTGTGAAGTTCATGACTGGTGAGGCTCTGAATCCTCTACTGAATTCATTTAGCTGCAATGAAAAGCTTTTTATTATGCTTCACAAAAATTCTAGCACAGTTTTACATAAGAAAAAGAATTTTTACAAGTAAAAGTATTTTATATTAGGTTAAATTAGATTTTTGACATCTTACCTTGTATATAAAGTTCAAGGTCAGTAGTGGATCCAGAAAAAATTTTTTGGTGGTATTGTCTGGCAGAGACCAGTGCGCATTGTGGGTTGGCCAAAAACTGTTAGGCCTATAAGAATATGCGCTTAGTGGCTCCCTAAGCAGCCAAGTAAAAGAGGAAAAATTATCACTCATCAAATTGAAGCCAGAGATCGCTGCAGCTGTGAGTGATGAAGACAATGGTTTCAAACATGAACAGTACACAAAAGTAAGACAAGTGAAACAAACTGATAAAGTAACTGGATCATGCGTAATGATGCAGCATAAAAAAGCCCTGTCTGCATAAAACGCTGCTGCAGATGGAAATAAACTGACCACTTTAGGCTTGAAGATACTCAGAAGAATAAGAATAAAATAAGGATCAGAATGAATTAAGGTAAGGATCACAGTATTTACAATTAACATTATTTTGTTATTTACAGTGATGCTAAGTATTAAATGAAAATTATGGGACATGACGACGTTATTGCACTATTGTGCATTTTTGTCGATTGGTTAAACTGGTAGACTGGGAGTAATCCCGCTAGGTCTTGCTCACTTCGTGTTACAGGCCTCTGGTCATTGCTTTTTTTGGAAATAAAGGCTAGTGAATGATCACCCAAAAGCCTCCTATCCCCGTTACGGAAATATACTCTTACAGTATTGTTTATGTCCTTTCTGTTGGGATCTGGAGCTGTACCACCTCTCTCCAGCAGAGTGCGCCGTGGATCCTCCTGAGCTGAGCCTCCAACACACCTGAGGCGCATCTCGTCATCAGAGGATCCTATATAACCTGTCTTCAGACCTTGCCTCAACGCCGCAGTGTTGATCCAGTTTGGTTAGCACCTGAGAATCTTAGTTATCTCTATTGAGATAAGATTCTAACACCTCCTTGTCTCTGCTTTCAGGAATCCTGTTTCCCTTGGAAGCTCTGGATGAGCTTAACCTGCCGAGCCTGCTCTCTGAGCCAAACCTGAAGACTCTTCTCTGGATTCCCCTGCAGCTCTTGGCTAAGAGCTGGAAACCCAAACCAAGGTCTGCCCTCAAGTCAGAAGTAAGACGCTGAAGCGGTTATTGGACTCTGCTGAACTAAACAGTCTGTGGACCCAACAGTTCCTCTCTCAAAGTAAAAACCCGGACTCCTCAAGGTATTCTTCTGAAACTCTCAAACTCTTCTGTTCCTGAGTTAACTGAACTGTCATCCTCACAGACTCCAGTGAACCTGTCCCCCGGCCTGAACCAGTTCCAGTGTTATCTCACATGTGCTTCAATAAACTCTGTTAAACTTTTCATCAGTCTCCGTTGTGTTCTGCGTATTGGGCTTTTCTGAACCCATCATGACACTTTCAACTGCTCCCTTATTCAGGTGTCACCACAGCAAATCAATATTTTAGCTCACAGGCTTGGCAAAGTTATACCAGATGCTTCTCCTAATGCAAATGAGATTCAAACCAGTAAAGATGACTTCAATCCCACATGAACGTCGTGATGTGTGGGAACTCCAAATGCCGTACCTTAGTCTGAACCTTTATCCGCTTTACCATCCTGGAGGAGACATGTGGGGAGAGAAAAGTTTGGGGATCTCTAGACTGCTGCCTCTGTAACCATGCTCCAGATAAGCAGAACATGAAGAGTAAAAGAACATTTTGCTTTTTTGCGATCAGTGGTGTTATTTATGTAGTGAACTACTTGCTTTGGGTGCACTATAATCACTCACCCCCTCCCTGTCCTCTTCTTTCTCAAACTGTATTAAGTCTGAGCACCAAATTTCATTGCTTCAATCAGTTTTGATGAGGACTGTTCATAACCAAAACAGAGATAGTGACAAGGGTGCTGTGTAGTGAGTTAAAATGGTTAAGAAATAAAGGCAATACAGAAACTTACAATCAGTTATGAGGAGATCAGAGCTTGGAGCACATGTTGAGAAAACTAGGCTCAGAAACATATTGCAGAATTAGGCTGGAAAAAGCAGCACTGGAGCTGATATATTGGTCTTTTAAAAATAGGTAGGGGATGAAAACAGGGAGCACAGGAAAAGAGTTGTTATAGAAATAAAGACAGGGCAGCTGACTGAGGTAGATCGGTTTTCACAGATGCAGTAAGACAGAAGTGCTTAGAAATTAATGCCGTAAAAGTAAAAAAAAAAAAAATCCACTGGACTTGGTTTCCAAGATTTGAAGACGTTTTGCTTCCCCTCCAGGAAGCTTTCTCAATTCAAATGTCTGGATCCGCAGTGAGTTTAAGTCTTTATATAGACAAGGCCTTGTATTTCTTGGAAACATAGAAATGGAAACCGATGAGAAATTCATGGAAACATAAAAAATATTAACTGACCAAAAATATTTTTAGAACTAGATTATCTCTGGCTCATTAAAAGTTGTTTCTGGAATAAAAAGCTTTACACATCTGTGTAAAAATTCTTTAGTATTTAACTTTTTTCTCATTCTCTTTTAACAAATGCATTCAATTTAAATGGGAACCACTACTTCAAAGGTCAATCCATGAGAGCATTTGAAACTGGATCTCTCTGGCCCAGTTGCTATAAAAAGGTCCTTGTTTATGTGAGGAAATATTAGTCTGGACAGAAGAAGGAGACAGCACTGAGTGTTGAAGAAAACAACGCAAGGTGGATATCTCTAAATTCATCAAGATAATTTGCTGAATTGCATTTGCAAAGTTAATCATTCATCTTGAAATGGAGTTTACCAGGCGCTACCTTCCAATGGAGTGGGAAGAGCGATGGCGGAAAGAGAAGGAGAGGAGAAAAAGAATGATTGAAGAAGGTGGAGAGGGGTTAGAAAGAGACAACAACGAACTGAGGCAGATTGTTGCTTATAACAATTCAAAGATGGGCCTTAAAAGTCTGGGTGATAAGACCGAAGAAAATGACTTGAGAAAGACTGAAATTGATATGGAATCTACCAGTGAATGTATGAGTGGTAAGGGATTCGGGGATGTTGGACAGCACGTCTGCACATACTCAAGCAGAACCTTTCATAAGGACATATTTAAGACTCTGAAAGAACTGCAGAATTCCTCTCTTCTTACAGACCTGACACTGACTACTGAGAATGGCAGAAACTTCAATGTGCACTCCCTTATCCTAGCTGCTGTCAGTGGCTTTATTTTAGAAAAACTAAATGAAATAAATGTGTTCCAGTCTTGGAATACTGAGGGGAAAATCAAAATGAGGTCAGTACTAATAGGTTACGAAGTTGATGAAGTTGGGCTTCAAGCAGTTATTGAGTTTGCTTATTGTGGAGATGTATCGATTTCGAACAAGAACACAATGACTCAAATCAAGACTGCAGCCGAAGTACTGAAGGTTCCAAGACTTCTGGATCTCTGCAACAACATGGATACAAGATGTGAAGATCAATGTCCAAAAATAGAGCAAGACATTACTTTTGCAGATGTTAATCTAAAAAATACTCTTCAGTCCATTGAAAGAATGTGGAGAGACAAAGTTGGATGTGATGTCATCTTGGAAGTGGATAGCACTTTTTTCCATGGTTAGTTGACAAAATCTTAGAAACACTGTACTTTATATTCTGTGATAACAGCTAAGTTTGACTTTTTCATCTGTCTCTTTAAGTTCATAGAACTATCCTGGCAGCAAGCAGTGACTACTTCCGTGGGATGTTTACCAGTGGAATGAAGGAATCCCATCAAAACTACATTGCCCTTCCATTTATTCCATCTTGTGAATTAGAGACACTAATTAATTGGTCCTATAGGGGGACCCTTGTGCTTAGCTGGGATTCTGTTTTTGAGATAACCTGCACTGCCCTCCAGCTTCAGTTTCAACCTGCTTTCTTGCTTTGCCTCAGATTCTTGCAAGAACAAATACATATTAACTCATGCCTGGATGTGGCATCTTTTGCTGAAGCATATGGCTTGTCAGGGCTGCTTGAGGAAACTAATGACTTTATACTGAGGAACTTCAGGGAAGTATCTGCAACTGCTAAGTTTCAAGACCTTGCAGCAGAGAAGCTCCTGGACTTACTTCGCTGTGATGGTCTATGTGTGCCTTCAGAGTTGACTGTGTTTCGAGCTGTAATCTCCTGGATTCAAGCTGATCCTGAAGAGAGGTTAGCCCAGGCTGCCTTACTGATGAGTGGAGTTCGTTTCCCACTCATGACTTTTCGGGAGTTCAGGGAGGTCAGAGCAATTAACCTACGCATGGAGTGCTTTGCTGATAAAGAAATGGAACTCTATGGATCTGCTCTCAAGGAATTTGGGTTCAGTCTCCCAAAGTCTGATGATTACTGTCGGATCAGAAGACCCAAAGATGTTCTTGCAGTGGTTGGTGGAGACCATCTTGATTCAGATATGGGTAAACGTATACCAAGCAAGGGTATTTGGTTTGCAAACTCTCTACGCAATGGCACAGGGTTGATCAAGGAGATAGAGTGGAGGAGCCTAAGGGAGATCCCAGACAAGCCAAAGTTCAGGCATGGTGTGGCAGTAATGAATGGCAGGCTGTTTGTTGCTGGTGGATGTTACTTTTATGCCAAAGATAATATAATGAAATCTGTCTACAGGTATGGTTAAAAAAATCTCAAGGCATATTTAAACCTCTTATGTATGTGTATGTATACATGATACCTACCCTTTTTTTTTTTACACATTGTAGTTATGACCCTGTGAGTGACAGCTGGAAACGTCTGGCTGACATGCTTGAACCAAGAAGTAATTTTTCATTGGTGGTCCATGAGAAGTGTCTTTATGCCATAGGAGGAGACAATGAGATCAACACCAACACAGAGACTGTTGAAATGTACAAACCAGACACTGACTCCTGGAGGTACTAATTATGTCACTTGTAATTCCTTCATTTAACACAATCCCAATCCTTTAGAAACAAACTGGGTTATATTGGCAAATCTTTAGGGCCTTGGTCATGTTGGATTAGGCTGATATAACTTAAGATAGGTTTATTGCAACTGCTTAATACTTGATTAGTAGACATTTAATTTTAATCACCATGTCAAGAGGACCTAAGACTGTCTTTTTGAAGAAGACTTTAACAACATTTTATTTACAAAATCAAACAATATAACCAATTATTTATGTCAAATAAGTTTGAGCTAAAGTTCTCTTTTTATGTAAAAACGAGTGTCAACTAAGAATCTCTTTATCGAGAAGCTTGTAAAATTGTAGTTCTACATTATCAGACACAGTAGATAAAATTTTGGTTAAAATCCCATAACTGCATAAAATCCTCCATGTTTTTTTTTTTTTTGAAGAAGACAAAGGTGTGCCTAGCATTCAACACAGATAAAATTATCATTTGTAAACACTATTCTTCAACTTTAAAAACTATTTCCTATTGATAATCATGAATAGTTGTCGTTTGAACAACAGCAAAACAAGCAATGTTTTTTTTTTAAACTTGATGCAATACAACTGATTGGACACAGGATGGCAGTAATTCCTTTTTAAGTATTTTGTTCTAAACCATTGATCTCACACTAAAATCCTGGAAGGCTGAAGTTATATGTTTCCCTTGTCATGCATGTCTGAATCAGATGGTAAAACTACCATTCCTGCTAATGAAACACAGATTTGTGCCAGGTGTGTTGAAGCTTTCAAAAGTTGCAGGATACCCTTGTGGACTGGAGTTTGAGACCCGTTCTCAAAACTGTGTATTTTGCTCTTGTATAAAAAAGAAATAACAATAAAAAAATAATTGTTTAAGTGTTTTGACTTTCCGACATTTATGCATCAAAATCTACAGACTCTTCTAAAGAAGTAGGGCCAAGAGTCAGTAAGTAATGTATCCAATGTATCAATATACATGTATTTGCAATTATTTATTTTTCATGAGTTATATCACTTATCGCTTATCTGTATGTAACATGTGTGATTTATCCAAGTAACTTTTTCTAAAATTATATCTCATTGTTCTAATTCTTAACATACTCAGTAAATACCAGGTAGACATCATGGAAATTAAGTGAATAGGAGTTTCCTTTGACATTCAAGGCATTGACCACATTGTTTGCTGATCTACGTTTGTTTTTGTTTTTTTATCTTTTACAGTTTTGTCCACCCCTTGGACCAGGCTATCAGTGGCTATGGGGTCACTGCCATAAATGGAGGCATTTTCATCTCTGGAGGTTTTAACTGTAAATATGTGTGTCTGGTTACCATGTTCCTTTACCACCCAGAGAGTGGAAGTATCTACCTGGCTGACATGTCAAATGACAGAGCCCAACATTGTATGGAAGCATTGCAAGGATGTCTTTATGTGGCTGGGGGTGTTTGTAACATGAGGAAGTTCTACACTGATCAACTAGCCTGTGAGGTGTATAATCCAGTGACTGACACCTGGACTGACTTTGCATCACTGCCAGTACCCCATGTTGGTGCTGCATCAGCTGTCCTGGAGGAGAAGATCTATGTTCTGGGAGGATACTGCCAGGATGATTACAGCGAGTCAGGACTGGTCCATCGCTTCGACCGTGGCTTGCAGCGTTGGGAGAACATGGGCAAACTACCAGGAGCTGTCACTGACATTAAGGCTTGTCCTATCAACTTACCCCAGCATTTCAGACTTTAACCAATTGATCTGAATCACAGAGCATTACAGATGAAATAAAATCAGACGTTCTGACTGGAAAACATAAACAGCCACTTGGAAAACATATTATCACCCTTTTAAGTTATATTTTATCATGATTTGAACAGAGATCAACTCAGAGCTGATTCCTTCAGATCAACTCAGAAGTTTTAAATGAAAGAAGAAAGGTATATATTTGAATATTGAGTTGTGTGTATTCCAACTGCACTGCACATTTTTCCTGACTCGCTTGAAGCCCCTTTCAACATCTATGAGTTTTGAAAAACTGAGTTAGGAGTAGTATAGAGCAACTTGGTACTATGAAACATTTCAGAAAATAAAATGCTTCATCAGTAAAAGTAAATCAAAGTATTGAACATGGAAACAGTTTCTTTTCTTTTAAAATATCTTTCAGTATTTAGCATTTTTTTCTACAGAACACTCATCAGAGAAAGGTAGTAGTTATGTATAGATATTGTTAGTGCAAAGTAAGGCCCATACAGTATAAATGTTATATTTTTATGAAAGACATGAAATGATAAAAAAAATCACTTCCATCACACATGTAATTCTTCCTTTCCCATGTAACACAGATTTAATTAATTCAAGAATATAATATATCAAAACCAAAAAAAACAGGATGAAATTATAAGGCAACTGTATTGTCACTCCGCTTTTTCTGAAGACGTTCCGACACATATCCAGGAGTCTTTATCAGTTCAATCACCTCACACCAGAGCAATATGTAGTTAGAGCAACAAAGTATCTTGGATAGGTGTCCGATTGTCTTCCAATTTAAAGGTGCAGTAGGAGATCTTTTCTGATGCATTTTTTACCATGTGGCTGAAAGATCTCCCCACAGCCTCTTAGCAAGTAGTGAAATAGAAGGTCTAAAAGTGTAACTAAAATAAATGGTAAAAGTGAGAAATTAATGAATAACCCCAACCAATCACAAAAGACAGTCCTCTGTGCACGATTGTCTCCTGATACGTCAATCATAGTCGTCTGCTTGTCCCTTCCCCCTGTGCACGTACCCTGACACGTGAACGAATCGACCCCCCAATGCTCGTACAGGACGCCATGGCTGGAAGCTAGCCACTGTTATGCTATGTTCACACCTAAAGTAGCAAGAGCAACAACCTGCGTGCTGCTTCCTTTTTTTTAATGCTTGTACAAGTTTAGTTCTGATGCGCGGCTGAAGCATCTCTGCTGCCCCAGCTGCGTGGTAGAAAAAGTGGGTCTGATGCACGTTGGGCGGAGCTACCCTATCCTTCCCTTGCCTGTACCAATGGCAGCTATATTTGCTGTGATCAGCAGGTAAAAACTAAATTTGAATCTATTTTGAAGTGAGAAAGTCCACCTGAAAACATCTTCAGTGCAGTCAGTTCATCTAGATTTCCATCCTGCCTTCAAATTTTATTTCTGTCAAAGCCGCTCAGACCCCCTTACTCCGGCGGTACACTGTCACTAGGAATCCCATTCAAAAGCCTGGTCGCCTCTTCGCTGCTTGACGCGGCGGCTGGAAGCCATTTTTCATGTATGTCATCCAAACTGCAGGCACCAGGATAATAAATGAGAACATGTTTTGCACACCATTTTAAGTTAATTTAGGTGTTAATTAACTGTTTCAGAGGAGTAGTCATAGCGCTAAGGATCATCAGTGCTGCCTGTCTCCCTGCAAGCTCCCAGACCCGCTGCTTCAGCTGCTCTGATACGCTGGTCCTGCTGCTCTAGACGCGCTGCAGACAGCATGCGCGTTTTTTTTTTTTTTTGAAGGCATGCTTTGGAGTGATGGTCTGAAGGGAGAGGCATGGTTGTGTATGTTCAAAAATATAGCTTGCTGGAACCGTCTTTCCAAGATCTCCTGCAGCACCTTTAAGCCTACTTTGTGGGATAAAATAGAATAAAATCTTATAAGCTTCCAATGTTGCATTTTCCTGAATTCTTTAAGATAGTAACGTCCCAGCTCTATACTAGGTCACCCTATTAATAGAGCGTTAATCCCCTACACCTACAATTCAGGAATTAAAAAAGACAAAAAAGGGAAGCTAATGTCAAATGTTTTTGTTAAACTTAGACTAATGGGAATATTAGGAATCCACTGAAGACACTGGTATATATTTTACCACCTCTCCACAGAATGATATTGGCACAGTCTCCAGCGTTCATTTCAAGGATTACTGAGTTGCTCGTTGTGTCGCTGGTGTCTGATCCTTTTGACTTCCAGGTGCTCACTTGGTATTTCCCGTTCTTCACCAGGATAGCTCCCGACGTGTAAATGTTGTAACCAAAAGTCATGTAGCTGAACAGATAAACACCTTTAACTGGAGCTGTGAAGATGCCTGTGAAAGAGAAGATGATTTTTTTTTTTATGCTTAAGTGATCTGGAGACATTCTGTTCAATGCTGCCTCAAAACAATTAACTTCTGTCATAGCAAATATTAACTGGACTTTAAACTGATTTAGTGAGTGGGAGGATTTATACGATGGATCATACCTGTCTTTTTGTTGTAGGCGTTTCCAATATTTGTAAAGACTTTGTCAAATTTTAAAATTTTCCTTGTATGAAAAGAGACATGTCCAATGAACGAATGAGAAGATGCGATGCTTGCTGAAAAAGCAACTTTATTCCGCACTGGAGGAAGTAAAGGAAATGTTACAGAAAATTTTTGTGTTTTTGTTGTAATGTTGGTTTTAAAGATATGCTATGTCAAAAAATAAGCTTAAAGAAAAATCTTTTAAAAAAGCACAAATAGAAGCGGTAAGTAGCTATATTAATCAAACTTAAACCGGTTTATGTTATGTATGAGCAGAATAAACTATAGATATTAGATAATCATGATTTTATTTTTTCATTACCTTTAAATTCGCTTTGAATTGTATCCAATTTATGGTTAATCTCCACTTCGGTTACATTCAGCTGGGCTTCAAGTTTGACTTGAAGTCCTCTGGTTGTTGAGTTTAGTTGGGACACTTCATCCATTTGCAACCTCAGCAGGGTTTTTGTGCTGTTGAGAGCAGCTACAGTTTCTGCCTCCAAAATTTCCAACTTTTCTTTTGTTTGTTTTTCCCAAAAAAAGAGATAAACAAGCTTAACCCCAATTAACAACTTTTAACTTGTTCTTTTCAATGTTGGAGGGCATATAGTTCTCATGCTTACACCTACCTGCAGTCTGACTGTTGAGGTGATTCATTGTGAGATTCTGTGTCTTTAGCTCATTAATAACTTTGTTGAATCTGCTTTCAAGTTTGCGATCAAATTCAGATTTTTGATGGTGTAATTTACTATTGAGGGCTTAAAAAGGAGCAGAAAGATGTTGGACAGGTTAATAATATTTCCATATGTGTTAAATTTTAAAACAATTCTTGAGAAAGTCTTCATCTTGTTGTTTTGCTTTACCTTTAGTTTCTTTGTGGACTTTCTCCAGATTATCTTCTAAGTCCTCCTTTGTGTTGTTCAGTTGAGCTTTAATGTTGACTGCAAGGTCCCCTGCTGTTGACTTAAGAAGGGAGAGTTCCTTCTTGTATAATTTCAGAAGATTGTTGGTGTTGTTGAACGCAGCTTCAGTTTCCATCTCTAGATTTTCAAGCTTGGCTTTTTTTTCCAACAGTTGCATCTCAGTATCATTGAGTCTCTTCTCAAAGTCGCTGAAGTTTCCCACCATTCCGTCTTTTTGCTTCTCCAGCTTGCTAACTTTATCCTGGAGTTTGGAAATGTCACCCATTTGTTTTTCCATTGATCTGGTCAACCCATCAAGGCTTTTTTCAAGTTTCTTCTCCAATCTGCCAAGGGTGAGAGTGTTGTTTTCCACAGATTCTTTCAGGTCTTCAATGTCATCATTCAGCTTGTCAAACCTTTTTTTAAGTTCTTTCTTCTCTGCATAAACATGCCTAATATTTTCATAATTAGAGCAAAGAGTAGGAGTGTCTCGTTTTTCCTCTGGGTCACAGTTCCGCATATGTGGAAGCTCTAAGGATGCAAATCTAAATAAAATCAGAAGAAAAAACACCTTGAAAGCCATTATTTGCTCTGATGCAGCTTCTGCTCTACATAAATGAAAGGTTCTGTCGAAGGAAAGCCCACAGATCTCCCTTTAATATAAGTCGAACAACCCAGTCTAACAGCTATTCTAGTTCTTCCTGCTGGCATTTTTTTCTTGTTGAAAGTTTCCTTTATATAAGGTGTCCCTATCATCCTGTAGCCCAAAAAAAAAAAAAACCTAACCAAGTTACTGTATTTCCGCCAAGTACATCACCTGTTACATGCTGCTGTTGAGATTTTATAAAGAGAAAACAAAGCTGGTTCCCTTTCAGCAAGAGGCTTTGTTTTGTGGAATGAGGAAGGTGGGCCATAAAAGCTGGTTTAAGATTATGATGGAATGAGGATATAGATAAGAAAAACACTGATTAAACTTTTAGGTGATTATATGAATACAGGTGGATTTAAAAGGAGTTCAATGACCCTGAAAGTATGCTGATGTTTTAAAACATCTGTTGCTGAAACAAAAACACAAAAGATGTTTGAATTTATAGTTGTATTTAACCTAACTGCAACCAGTAATGACCAAAATACAATACAATTATTGGCAATCAAAATATACTCAAGTCCTAAAGAAGTAGGTAGAAAATATATCACTGTATTCCCATTATCAGTTCGTACGAAATCGTACGAAAAGTTATGCACCGTAATGTCGTACGTTTTAGACGTTTTTTTCGTCGTATTTTTACGTCTTGCCTCGAGACAAGATATCCTTGCGCATGCGCATCTTACGCACCATTCAATAACATAGAATTTAACATACAAGTAACCCTGACCCTAACCCTAAGATACAAAACAGCAAGAAACCTAGTGAGAGACATCAAGAAGTAATTATTGCACTGTTTTTCCCAGTTTTACGTCAGTCCGCGGATCTGCTTTTTTCGCCTGTTTGGCTGCGCGTGCGCACTGATCTGTTTTTTCGAGGAAAAACGTCCAAAACGTACGAAATACTGTGCATAACTTTTCGTAGGATTTCATACGAACTGATAATGAGAATATGCTAAATATATATACCCTTTCTTTTCCTTTTATGTTATTCCCAGTTCTTCCCTGTCAAAAATGCAAATGCAGTTTAAGAAAAAAATTTGAGATTTAAAATACAAAAGACATAATGAGATTTCAAAGAATGTGAACTTAAAGGTTGATATTCACACCTAGAAAACCATAGCATGTATTTTTCCACTTTGTTTTCACTCATTGCAAGGAGCCTCACCACTAGTGTTACTGCTCAAAGAGTCACATATGGAGAAGAAGTGCTAATTTCTTCAATTGCAATAGTTTACAATATTTTTTTAAGAGCAAGGTGAGGCAAGACAAGTTTATTTATATGAGATAATTCAGTAAAAAGACTATTCAAAGAGCATTACATGAATTAAACTACAATGGACGGCACAGATGAACCCAATATTCAAGGTGAGTCAGACAGTGGGAAAGTTCAAAACGTTTATTAACAGAAAATAAAACAGAACAGAAGCGTAGAGCTATGGGTCCTTGGACCGCAGTGACTACAGTGGGGCACAACCACAGAGACTCTGGTTTAACAGTTCATTCCATCCTCTCCAAGGAAGGCATGATCTATCCAATGGACTGCCAAAGGTGAGTGCTCCCAATGCAGTAACCTCAGCGAGCAGGCAGGAATCCCATCCAGCTCAGAAAAACAGATCAGACAGGAGCAGTTCTGGAATCCAGGAGTTGTAAAATTGTAAAAAAAAAATTAATAAATAATGCTCTATCCAGAATTCCTCAAGTGGAAGAGTTTAAGTTTCACCTGATTTAATGTTCTAAAAAGTCTTCTTTAAGGAACCTTTTGCTATCTGATTGTTAATCGATTAATTGAAAAAAATAATATTTAGATTAATTGATTTATAAACTAATTGGTAGTTGCACCCCTAAATAGGTTATTCAAATAAAGGCTAAAACCAATCAATGATTATTAGTTAGATGATTATCACTGTAATGTGCTTATTGACTTGGGTGCTTAGTATTTTACATAAAGGTTGGACCCCTTGACTGGCTGTTTAGAATCCAATTGCCTTTCACCCGTTTACGGTAGTAATTTATTAATCACCAACCAAAGAAATGTCAATACAGTGGTGGTAGGTCAGGGCCTTCAAGGCCTTCACTGCTAGCCTAAAATCCATCAGAAACACAAACCTACATTCCGACCTAAACTTTATTTTTCTTCTATCTCACTCTATTAGTTTATTCAATCCGTTCTCTTAATTTTTTATAGCCTGGCTGCACCATTACATTTCTGTGGTTGCTTTTAGCACAAAGGGCAAGCTCACAACACTACACTACGTGAGAAAGTAGAAAACATTGAGGGTTTATATCTAAACCCTCACCAGCGGGAGCTTTTATAGATTTTCCTCGGTGCGGACAGAATTTCCACACAGAGTCCTGTGTAGGGCCGTGGAAGCCCGAAACGTTACCAACACTGGTGGTCACAAAGACACTAACTGGTTTTCCAATCCTATTGGACTCCTAATAAAGTAAATATGACAAATTTGAAAAAGCCTTTTAATTTGCCAATTATCATGCTTACTAGTGACCATATCGATGTGTCAAACTTTTGAGGTAGATCAATTATCCAAGGTTACACAGATTTAGACAGAATTGTGAACAATAATTGAGAGAAATACAATTCTGAGTATAAAAAGTATGTCTTAGATTTTTCTATTAAATTCAGCTTATTTATATAGCGCCAACTCAAAACACATGTCATCTCAAGGCACTTTACAGTTCACTAGTTCATCCAGTCAATTGATTCAAAGTTTTCAATCTAAGGAAAACCTGTTAATTGCATCGACTCATTGACTCGAATGCAAAACCCCACACTAAACATGCTTTTAGCAATAGTGGAGAGGAAAAACTCTCTCTCACGGACTAAAACTGGTAGTTGGTTCCACAGGAACTAAAGGAACTAAAAGATCTGCCTCCCATTCTACTACTAGAAATTCTAGGAACCACTAGTAAACCTGCAGATTGAGAGTGAAGTGCTCTGTTATGAACTCAAGAAACAATCATATCTTTGATATAAGATGGAGCTTGGCCATTTAAGGCTTTATATGTGAGAAGGAGGATTTTAAATTCTATTCTGGATTTAACAGGAAGCCAATGAAGAGAAGCCAGGATAGGAGAGATATGATCTCTATCTTTCATCAGAACTCTGGCTGCAGCATTTTGGATCAGCTGAAGGCTTTTAACTACAGTTTGTGGACTTCCTGATAGTAAAGAATTACAATAGTCCAGCCTTGAAGTAACAAATGCATGGATTAGTTTCTCAGCATCACCCCTGGACAGGATATTTCCAATCCTTGCAATATTGCATAGATGATGGAAAGAAATTCTATAAACCTCTTTGATATGGGATTTAAATGACAGGTCCTAAATCAAAAATAACACAAAGATTTTTTACTTTATTATCTGAAATCAGTTTAATGACGGAAAAAAAAATAGAAAAACATTTTCAGTGACATCTTTTATAATGTTTTTAGCATATCTAAGCACAAAAATATTATGTGTAATCACGAAATAACATTCATTTAAGGACCCTAGAAGTTTTGTGTTTACCTGCATCATGAATGTGGAACCCAAAACTGACTCTTGTGGAACCCCAGAATCAGTGTGTTAAGAGTATGAACACAAATGTTCCATTTTCACGTACTGCATGAAGCTTAACTACTCCAACGTTTTTAACCATGTGTCAAAATCATTTTTAATATTAACAAAAAAATCGTAGCTATGTTCTTTTTCTCAGCAGCAGTAATATCTTTCTCTACTCCGGGTGTGATAAATGTTTTTGATATTTTGATCAAAATGCATGTTGAATTTAGCAGATTAATTGTTACTTTTCTAAAAAGGTTGCAGGGTTACTGTTCAACTTGTTCTATGGAAAACTTTTGCTATGTAGTTGGAAAACTAATATTTCTCGGATATCATTTTTAACATTTTAATCTCTCTGGAAGATGAAGACACGTATAAAGTAAAAACAGAAATAGATGCTGTGATAATTTTAAGAAATGTAGAGTAAAAAAGGCTGTTGGTGTATCCACAATTTTAAGGATAAACAACTGTTAAGCTGTAAGGGAACTATGTTTATAAGAGCTATTAGCATGTTAAAAAAAAAAAAAAAACTAAAGAATTTTTTTTTTACCTAACAAACAGCTCCTGTATGCCGGGGAATGAGGAAGAAGTGGTTTTGATAGAGCTAAACTACTTTAAAGGAATGAGGATGTTCTAAAAACTATTTAAAAAGACAGATGTTATCAAACTGCTTTCGCAAATACTATGGAAAAAACAGAGCAGTATAAAAATAAAAATCTTATTTTTTCTTTTTTTTTCTTTCAGCCCCTCTATATTACCGGAGTCAAGAGTAAACACATTCTTCACTTGAAGAAAGTATGGAGCTAAACTAGTTTGGTGCCGTTTGTAGCCCTTGGATACTTCCTGGTTCCATAGTAAATCATGGGAATTCCCAGGGTATTCAAAACAGAGTGCAGCATGTGGTATTTTATGCTATAAAACGCGCAACAGCCTGCAAACACTGAAGCTAGGAAGACAAGTGGACTAGGGTTGGGTTAGAAGCTTCTGCAAACTTCAAAAGTAGTTGTACAACAAATGACTGAATTGACAACTTATCTTGAATTAAGCTCTGCTACTATCTAAGTAAATTTTAATTAAAAGTTAAACAGCACAGGTTTCTTGTTGTACTTAGATAAAAAGTAAAATTAAGTTCATGCTTTAAAGGAGAAGTTCGGTTTTTTACACTTTAAGCCCATTTTCTGAAGTGTCCAGGATGAAATCGAATGATCGACACCAAAAGTTTGACAATTGCTCCTGTCTCTGCTTTTTGGCTCATTTAGAATCAACCCCTGGCTGCTTTAGAATGGCTAGCATAGAGCATGTCCGATAATGTCCTTAAAACAACCTTAAACGTTCTTTTTTTAAAATATGCTACTCACCGTTTCGTCAGCGCTGTTCAATGACGTTCCAAAAAAAGTTTCGTGAAGAAAAAACGTTCCTGTAGTGTTTTATTTAGCATTTTGTAAATCCCATTGAGTTCTGTAGGAATAGTCAATATTCCGCTGCCACCGGAAACGGAAATGGGGCCTGTTTACACAGTTGTAGTCTTTTCGCTTCACTCTGTGTACTCCAACGTCGAGAATCAAGAATCCACCTTTCGTATTCCATTTTCAGAGTTTTTTAAAGTGTTTAACAGAGACGTTAGCACCTCGACGTCGGAGTACACAGAGTGAAGCGAAAAGACTACAACTGTGTAAACAGGCCCCATTTCCGTTTCCGGTGGCAGGGGAATATTGACTATTCCTACAGAACTCAATGGGATTTACAAAATGCTAAATAAAACACTACAGGAACGTTTTTTCTTTACGAAACTTTTTTTGGAACGTCATTGAACAGCGCTGACGACACGGTAAGTAGCATATTTTAAAAAAAGAACGTTTAAGGTTGTTTTAAGGACATTATCGGACATGCTCTATGCTAGCCATTCTAAAGCAGCCAGGGGGTGATTCTAAATGAGCCAAAAAGCAGAGACAGGAGCAATTGTCAAACTTTTGGTGTCGATCATTCGATTTCATCCTGGACACTACAGAAAATGGGCTTAAAGTGTAAAAAACCGAACTTCTCCTTTAATGACAACAAATAACTTTTTAAAAACAACAACACAATATTTCTATTATAGAGCTCACTGTGTTGGCAGAGATAACCTTAAATTTTGAACTGTTTGGTTTAAGTCAGGTTCTCTTTAAGATGTTGATTTTCTCCTTGTGTTGTTTCAGCTCTAATCTTGCGGAAGTAAGGAGTGGAAATTAGAGATGTTGGATCAGTCTCAAAAAGCAGGTTTAACAAACTCAAACTCAAATCCTCAACTCTGAATTGATCTAGTGTTCTTTTTCACAACGGCAGCTCTGAGTTAGTTTAATCAACTCTGAGCAGATGCACTCAGAGATGAACACATGCATAACAAGTATATAAAGCCATTATTAACAGAGCCCTGATTCGATTAGTCACCATAACAACAGGCAACAGGAAGTCCCAATTTCACACCACTGGAACTAGAGATTTTAGTGCAAAAATGAAAGAAATAAACGGAGAATGTGTTTAAAAGCCAACTGTAAAAGAGAGGAAAATGTTGAAGATTGCTGTGTCGAGGATGTTGAAGATTGCTTATATCAGTATTTACAGTATTAAAAGCATTCTCTCCTTTGTTGTTTCTTTTTTCGATCACTAAAATAGGATTCTTCTTGGTCAATATCATGTTCCTAGTCTTAAGTCCAATAATAGAGGTTCTAAATTACAATTTTTCCAGCAGAAAAAGAATTTCAGAAAGTAAAAAAAACTCAATTGTACCAATAAGAAATAAGTTTGATATATCTAGAAATGTTAAGCCAATATCTGAAATACATTTCTTCATAGTCAAAATTATACAAATGATGGCCTCTTTAGTTAGCAGTAATACCTATTCAGTCAAACTAATACATATCAAAAACGCTTGCCATAGCCTGTTGTGACCACAATAACATTACAGGTTTATTTCTTGAATGGTAGGGGATCAATGTATCTATTTAGGTAAAATCACCTGGCGGCAGGTGAAGATGAAGTCTAAAAACATTGTTCTTAAATTAGGACCTGTTCATTTTCTCATGGTGATCCTCCTCATTTTGATTCTATCTTCCATCACAGAGTAAATAGTTAGAGGCTGTTTACAGCCGCTTTGGATGTTATCATCCCAATAAGTGGTCATTATAAGTGGTTATCAGTCCCATAGAATGGCTTCAGATTGTGCCAGTTAGCCTAGTATTTTTTTATCACAGAATGAATCCTAATTCTAACCCTAAAGTTATTCCTTTTTCCCCACGTAGAATTAATCAATCTATTTATGTGTAATCTGCAAATAATTTCAGTAGTTCCTCATTTACTATAAAAATACACTCACTGGCCACTTTATTAGGTACACCTGTCCAACTGCTCGTTAACACTTAATTTCTAAGCAGCCTATCACATGGCGGCAACTCAGTGCATTTAGGCATGTAGACATGGTCAAGACAATCTCCTGCAGTTCAAACCGAGCATCAGTATGGGGAAGAAAGGTGATTTGAGTGACTTTGACCGTGGCATGATTGTTGGTGCCAGAAGGGCTGGTCTGAGTATTTCACAAACTGCTGATCTACTGGGATTTTCACGCACAATCATCTCTAGGGTTTACAGAGAATGGTCCGAAAAAGAAAAAACATCCAGTGAGCGACAGTTCTGTGGGCCGAAATGCCTTGTTGATGCCAGAGGTCAGAGCAGAATGGCCAGACTGGTTCGAGCTGATAGAAGGGAAACAGTGACTCAATAACCACCCGTTACAACCAAGGTGGGCAGAAGAGCATCTCTGAATGCACAGTACGTCCAACTTTGAGGCAGATGGGCTACAGCAGCAGAAGACCACACCAGGTGCCACTCCTTTCAGCTAAGAACAGGAAACTGAGGCTACAATTTGCACAAGCTCATCGAAATTGGACAATAGAAGATTGGAAAAACGTTGCCTGGTCTGATGAGTCTCGATTTCTGCTGCGACATTCGGATGGTAGGGTCAGAATTTGGCGTCTACAACATGAAAGCATGGATCCATCCGGCCTTGTATCAACGGTTCAGGCTGGTGGTGGTGGTGTCATGGTGTGGGGAATATTTTCTTGGCACTCTTTGGGCCCCTTGGTACCAATTGAGAATCGTTGCTGACCATGTCCATCCCTTTATGACCACAATGTACCCAACTTCTGATGGCTACTTTCAGCAGGATAATGCGCCATGTCATAAAGCTGGAATCATCTCAGACTGGTTTCTTGAACATGACAATGAGTTCACTGTACTCAAATGGCCTCCACAGTAACCAGATCTCAATCCAATAGAGCATCTTTGGGATGTGGTAGAACGGGAGATTCGCATCATGGATGTGCAGCCGACAAATCTGCCGCAACTGTGTGATGCCATCATGTCAATATGGACCAAACTCCCTGAGGAATGCTTCCAGCACCTAGTTGAATCTATGCCACGAAGAATTGAGGCAGTTCTGAAGGCAAAAGGGGGTCCAACCCGTTACTAGCATGGGGTACCTAATAAAGTGGCCGGTGAGTGTAAATACATAGATAAAAATGATCCCCATGTCGCTCATATTAAACAAAGCAAAAACAAATAAATCTCATATCCTTTCAAATGAATGGTAGAAATGACCGTGTTTAGTTTTAAAATCTAATGTATCCAACAGACCTACTGAATGATTTCTTTTTTTTTTTTTTTATGAACAAACCTACAACAAAAATCTCCTGACTAAAGGAAATAAAACAACGTGATTGGCTCTAATGAGTGCACAGACAGAGGACACTGAGTTTACTGAAAAAAACCTGATCCTGACCAGGCTTGCTGTGGGGAGAATGCTACTGAAACAGAGGTTGAATAAACATTATTTTTGAAATGGAAAACGCAAGGACTTGGGATCTTGAGGCCTTATTATAAGTCTAATCTTAGATTGTTTATAGAGTTATAGATAGAGTTATTTATATAGTTTATAAAGTAATCCAGCATATTCACAATAAAGACATTACATGATGAGAAAATCACCACATAAGTCGAAAGTTTGATCCTTATAACTAAACTAATAAGATTGCTAATAACACTAGCTTCCCCAAACCCTTCCCATAATTAGATGGGAAGTTAGAAAAATTGATAATTAATTTCTTAAACGAATGCTTGTGGCCACCAAAATGCTTCAGGGGGATGTTTTGGTTCAAATTGTTGTATAAAAGCAATAGCCAGAATATGGCCTGATTTGGGACATCTGGAGAGGTTTGGAGGCACTCGTAAAACCAGAAGTAAAAAGTCCCAGTTCCCATCTGGAACTGTTATATCTAGAGGCAGAGTGCGAAATACAGGGGGTCCGGGGGGGCTCGACCCCCCCGATTAACCCATGAGACCCCCTGAAAGCCTCAAGAGCAAAATTCAAAGGGGGTCTTAAATTGTGTCAAAAAAAATAAAAAAATATATATATATTTTTGTCACTAATGGTCACTAAAATGTTTTTAAGCTCAACATTTCCAGGATTAAAATTCAAAACCTTATTCACAAATATGTTGTGTTTTTTACCAAGTGGAGCCAGCCAATCCTGCTCTCGTATGCAAATTAGCCATGTGCTTTTCCGTAGTTAATAACACGGGCAATGCAGAACATATTGCGCTAAGACAGCAGGTCTTCACTCCTGTTTGTGGACCTCAATGGACCTCCTCTGGACAAATTCAACCCAGTTCCATTCGTCAGAAACTGAATTAAAGCAGGACATGTGCGTGCATGAAAGAGAGAGACAGAGATAGAGACAGACAGACAGTCTTTGTGCATGTGTGTGTTTTCATAGACTGACTGTCTGCACAGGCTCTTGCCCGCTCCACCAGATTCACAGAAAGCTTCATCCACCAAGCTGTCAGGAAGCTGAGCCCCCCTAAAAAAAAAATCAGTCCGGACAAACTGTCTCCTGCGCTACTATTAATACTATATTTATTTACTGTTTTTTTTTGCACTGTTACTGTTACAAATGCTATATCTTACATAATTGGTAAAAATAATAATAATAATTTTTCTGCTGCCATTACCATCTGCCTTTTTGCACTAGCATAAGTATTGCATATTTTATAATATTGTACATTTTATATTTCATTGTGAAATTGAATGTTTAAATTTTAATATTAGGAACTGATCTAATCTGTTGTGCCTGTGCACTTTATCTGTTTCACTCTTGGTGAATGAGAACCGTCCTCTCGAGTCCTTGTATGTCTGGTGAATCTGAAGAATTGACATTAAAGCTGACTTTGACTTTGAAACGTTATAGGCCTACTGCATATTGAGAAAATTTAATCGGTATTGCACAACAATCGGGAGATGGGGACCCCCCAAATATTGACAGGTGTTCGCACACTGCCTAGAGGTCTGATATCTTTAATTAATTGTGATGCAGAAAAAAGCTATACATTGACATGTACATACTATCAAGCATGTCTTTGTACATATTTACATATTTAGTACATATTTATTGGTACACATTTAGGTCAGACTGGTTAACCAATTCAGAGATTGTAGTTGAAACAAATTTCACAATTTAAATAACTAATCAAACCTAGCTTGAAATTATAGTAATCTGTAGAAAAGCATCTATATCTCTGCTGAACAGTGTGGAGTAAAAATGGGCACTGAGAGTTGATATGCAAGGAATAAAAGGTTTTATTTTACTCTGCAGAGGAGAACTACACAAGACAGCTGCGTACAGCTCCTAGTGTAGCTCTGACTAGGTCCTGCCCATTCTTTGCATTTATAGAGAATTCTTACACACAAACATTGAGTCTTCCCAACAGAAACACTTCATCAAAAGACATAAATATATGTTCAGATAAACATTTCAGACAACTGTTTTCCGTTCACACCAGAGACAGGACGTGAGGATCTTAAACACAATAAGGACGTGTTTATCTATGTTTCCCTCTTATCTAAACTAGGGAGGAAACTCCTTTTCAAACCTCCTTCCTTTCCCTACATCTCAGCATAAAGAATGGAACAATAGCTTCTAACTAATCACCCCTATTCAGAAAGAAAAAAACAGCACACTTTAATATTTAACCTTACTAACATCCAAGGAAAAAACCACAAACCACAACAGCCATTATGAAAACATTATTAACTTCAAGCCAAACAGTCATTATCAAAACATTAGTAGCTTCAAGCCAAACAGCCATTATGAAAACATTAGTAACTTCAAGCCAAACCAGATGTGGGAGCTTGAATAATTCCTTCACACATACACACACTTTGTGACATGGATGGGAAGTTTAAGATTTACTTCAGGGTACTTTCGCTCAGCACCATGAATGAAGCTCAGTGTTGGTTCAGGGGAAAAAACCAAGAACAGGCACCCTGTCAGCTCCCGAGGCAAACACCAGTACTTGCTCCAATGAGATCTGGAATGCACCATCTGTAAAAAGTTAGGTAATCAAATTACATTAACTGCAGTATTTTTCAGCATCTCAGCAATTTCACCCAATCACATTTCTCTAGAAAAAACTGAGTCTATCGTTTACCTTCAACATCGAGAAGGAAGTCTCTCCAGTAGCCTTCCACTCTTTTTTCCATTCGCCACTGATTCTCTGGGGGGGGGGGGGGGGGGGTGTTTATAAAGAAAAGAAAAAAAAGTCATTAATCTCAATAGGAGCTAATTTTATTGGACTATATATTCATTTTTAAGAAAGGGGCAAACGTTTGATGTCATGTCAACATACGCCACAAATACAGCCATGCATATTTGCCGTCACTGAGTAGCCGTACCAACGATCTACCAAAAGTCGACCTTTGGCACTTTGACATGTTTAAAGACCCTTTATCGAACTGATTTATAGGAAAGCTTGTTGATGACAGGAATGAATAGTAAAAGAAAGCCAAGCATACCCAAGAGGTGAGAATCATGCAATTGCTGTAGGTTGATAGAATCACAAATGTCACATAATTGACCTGATAACTATTATGCTGAAAACAGTAAACCATTAGCCCCAATCACACAGAAGAAAGCGCTCCTTTAAAGAGTATATGACCCAATGCAGGCTTGTTTTGCTGCAATACTTAAGCAACCTCACCCTAATATTTACCTCAAAAATAAAAAGGTCAATCTGATCCAAACACTGCAATAAAAAAAGTGTTTTAAAATGTAATGTAATATTAATTTTTATCTCTAGTGTTTCACACATGCAGATGACGTTTGACTAAACACTCACTGCTGTAAAGCTTCTTTAGTCCGTCCTTCTACATAGAATCTAGCAGTAGCCTGAACCAACAGATCCCAGCCTTCCAGGGTGGTGATGTGCCTCAAGGACCCCAACAATGAAAGCCTCTCTGCAGCCTCTTCGATGGCAGCTCTGGCCTCAGTTAGATCACTGGCTTCGCTGATCTTTGTGACACATAATTGGTTTAATAAGGCCTTTAAAATACTTTCACCATTTGGAAATAAATAAATAACAAGTTAACAATTTACCTTTTTCAGTTTCAGATGCAGATCCTGATCCACAACTTCTTCCAGAGTGGGTGGTGATGTGGGTTTTAAGCAGAGGTTTTTGTAGAGCCTCTCAGAAAAAAAAGATGGCCGCACACCTCCATGCACCAGTGCAACTGTTATGACGTCGTATGTTTTGTAGAGACTCCTGTGTAAGGCTGCATAAGTAGAAAAGTAAAACAACAAACTGCTATGAATAACGGGTGGTAAATCTATGCAGAATTGAGTTTGTCCCAATTACTTGTACCTTTATCCTTGTAACCTTTTACTAACCTTGGCTGTTCAAGGACAGGTTCTTGCTGTTCTGTGGCCCTGTAAATAACATGCTGTCCTTCATAGCCATCAAAAGAAGCCTGAAAAACTCCCGTGAAGGTCCACCCTCATCTACTGAACCCTTGGCTTGCATGAAGTCATCCATAAAAATGATCTTGATCAACGATCAATGATCAACTTGGCGTCAGGGTTGAAACTTCTCCTTCTGAAGGCTCGGATATCACCATCCATGATGTTATCTCTGCAAACATTTGTCATGTTGCTGCAGGGCGTCTCCTCAGTCCAGACTTTGGATGCCAATCTTGTCAGCAGTGTTTTTAACTCTGGTCTAGAACAACCAACCAAACGGCATTTAGAAGAGGCAGCTGATGAGACCATGGTCTAAAACATTTGCATGAGCACATTTTAAATTTGTATGCATGCATGCATTACAAAACGTAATGTATTAAACGAAGTAAAAAACTAGCACTCACTCCATAGCATCCTCAACAAGACTTAAATCCAGTGAGCCCGAAACGTCTGAGGACTCAGATGAGCCAGTATGAAGATCTGCATCTTCAGTAACCAGCGAGTAGCCTGTCGAGTTTCCCAGTGCAGTCTGTAGCAGCTGGAAAGGAAATATAGAGTGCTTTCAAGGTTTGTGGTATAAACAGCAAGTACCACAATATACAATCAATTTTTTTTGTCAGCAGGTGTTAACATTTTTTGTTCATTTGGGTATTTACACAATGTTTCACCATATTCATTAAAAAAGAAGAAAAGTTTTAATTGAGTTCATATTTCTGAACTCCAGCATTGAACGCTGGGAAGTTCCAACGCTCTGCTTCAGATGCTTGAACGAGCCGCAGGACCTCTCAATCTCACTTGATGCAAGCCCCCAAAAGACTTTGCATGTAAATCAGAAGCTTTGAAACCCTAAACGCATTTTCAGTGAACACACCTTCAGTCACAATTGCAGCCTAATTTTGCTGCTATGCACTATGAGTGCTTCTGAGAGAACTTTTAATGTTGGGTTATAATAAAAAAAATATATATATATTTTGACAGCAATAGTTATGCTAAATGCACTAACATCACTTTCCATTACACCAGGACTCTCCAGGGAGTTTTGTGAGGTATGGACCTCCTGCATGTTCATCAATGAAGCAGAACACACAATTTAATGACGAATGATGCAATATGTCAATCAATATGTATAACGGTTTAAGAGGTAAAATTGAGCTTACAGTGGCAGTGCTTTGATCATTTTGGTCCCGACTTGCATCCAACACTTGTTCTGCACCCTAAGGAGAAAGATGACATTTTTTCATGCGTTTCTTTACACTACACTTAGACATTGTTTTTTTACGGTAGGCTGCAGTGGATATTGTTAGTCCAAAGATAACTCCACTTTGAGATGAGTTCAGGAGAACTTATTTTCTTCCACCACCCCAAACGTAGAGCCAACGTCCAACTATAAACACCCACAACGAACAAAGGGGGCCATAGGCTATCCTGCAGAGCCCTCTAGTGGGCTGGCATGATATGTGAACAAGTTGTGCCGATTTCACAATGAATACTAGGGAGGCTAAATCTCCAATGTAAATTTCAGCTTCCTGATAAATGCAGTTCAGCAAAAGGCTGTTAAAGGAATAGTACACCCAAAACATGATTAACCTTCATTGTCTACTCACCCTACTCACCCCCATGCTGAACAACACTCTGGAGTACTTTTTTGATATCTCAAATGCATCTGGAGATCTGGGAGGCTTCTTGCTGTCTGCTGACATTCAAATAATGGAGTGCCCGAGACAGAAAGGTCCATAAAAGTCCACAAAAAACGTGTCAATATTCCTCCATACTGCTCGTCCAATGTATTCCAAGTGTCCTGAGTGGGTAGCATCCAGAATTTACTTGAAACAAAGTTATTTAGAATGTTTTTAGAGCATAAACAGTAGTGTATAGGATTTCCTGAAAGCGCGCGCCTGCGAGTTCATGACGCTACGGAAGCCGGCAGACCAACCAGATGAAAGTGTGCATTCTAAATGACTTTGTTTCGAGTAAATTATGGAACGTGAAGAAAAACATTTGTACATTAAAAAACATTTAAAAAATGAAATAGCTTAAAAAATGATGGTAATATGAAGTCAGAACTTGGATTATCAATAATTTATTTCATTTATTTGAATTTAATTAATTCTGTTTTTCTGTGTTATTTAATTCTCTTTATGCCTTGTGAAAGTCAACAAACAGGTCCACATAGCAGTGATGCAGAGGGAAAACTGCACTTGCTTCTCACAGGCTCCCTTGCAATTATTTGCCTTTTTCTAAGATGCATGCAGTGGAGCCTTTCCATTGTGGCAAAGGTGGAATGATTTTCTTTTTCTGCCTCTTCAAGTTTTAGATCTCATGGAACTCCAGTATCTCATCACAAAAGCTTCATCTGTTGACAATAACAATATAAAATTAATATTTTAATCACAGCAATGGAAAGCATTATGAAACATCTAGATATTTTCATGTTTGTATTACTTGGGGGCTGAAACTAACTTACTCTCACATGCACACATTTACACAACCAGGCTCACACTTCTAACGATGAACTATGGAGTACTTCTAACTGCTTCTTCTGGCTCTATATCTGAATCTGAGCTTCCTGTACCCTCATCCACATTTACATTAGCCTCAACGTCTTCATCACTGTCTGCCAGCTCATCCTCACTATCCTCTAGTCGAGCAGCTATTTGAGCCTTGTTCTCTTTCCCTCTACCATAGAATTAGACAGGATGTATTTTTTGGGGGGGGATTTGGATAATATTTGACAGATACAAAGTAATTTTAACAAACGGTTTTAAAAATATAAAATGTATTTTACGTTTGTAATATAAGTGTATTAGTGTATTTTCATATTATACAAGTCAATAGACCTCAATTAGGTTGAATGCACCAGAACGTTTCCATGTTTGTATCCTGTTGCCAAATGGCAACAAATATATATTGTAATGCAATCCACCTGAACGAGGTTTAGACTGTTTTGATCCAGTTGAACTTTCAGAGTTAGCTACTATCTTCATCTAAGCCTACAACTTGTATGTTAGATCCAGTTCCAACCAAGTTATTTGAGGAAGTATCTCTTCTGATTTTCTCCTCCATTTTAGATATTATTATTATTTCCCTGCTACAGTGATATGTACCTCAGGCTTTTAAGGTTGCTCTAATTAAACCTTTACTAGAGAAAGAATCTGTCTCTTGACCAGGAAGACTTGGTTAATCATAGACCTATATCCATTCTTCCTTTCTGATCTAAAACTCTTGAGAAAATAGGTGCTAAACAAGTGTGTGACCACTTAAACCATAATTAACTACCATAATTTGAAGAGTTCCAGTCAGGTTTTAGAGCTCATCATAGCACTGAAACAGCTCTGGTGAAAGTCACTAATGATATTCTCATGGCGTCAGATAATGGACTTGTTTCTGTACTTGTCCTGTTAGATCTCAGTGCTGCATTTGATCCAGTTTATCAAAATATTCTTTTTGAAAGGTTTGAACATTTTATAGGACTTAAGGGAACAGTACTGCGCTGGTTTAAATGTGATTCATTTGACAGATTTCAGTTTGTTCACGTCAATGATAAATCTTCCTCATGCTCAAAGAGTTACCATTGGAGTACCACAGGGATCAGTGCTAGGACCAATTCTCTTTCCCATATATATGCTCCCAATTGGTAGAATTATCAGACAGCATGGGATTCATTTCCACTGCTATGCTGATGATACTCAGCTATATCTGTCTATAAATCCAGATGAAGCTACAGTAACCCATTACATAGATTACAGGCATGTCTTGAAGACATAAAAACCTGGATGACTCTTAACTTTCTGCTTCAGAGGTTTCCCAATTTTCCTTCTTTCATCTCCAGATTATTGCAAACATTAGAAATATCCTTTTCATGGGAGACGCTGAGAATCTAGTCCATGCATTTGTTACTTCAATGCTGGACTATTGTAATTCTTTACTATCAGGAAGTCCACAAACTGTAGTTAAAAGCCTTCAGCTGATCCAAAATGCTGCAGCCAGAGTTCTGATGAAAATTAAAAAGAGAGATCATATCTCTCCTATCCTGGCTTCTCTTCAATGGCTTCCTGTTAAATCCAGAATAGAATTTAAAATCCTCCTTCTCACACATAAAGCCTTAAATAACCAAGCTCCATCTTATATCAGAGATCTGATTGTTCCTTATGTTCCTAACAGAGCACTTCGCTCTCAATGTACAGGTTTACTAGTGGTTCCTAGAATTTCTAAAAGTAGAATGGGAGGCAGATCTTTTAGTTATCAGGCTCCTCTCCTGTGGAACCAACTACCAGTTTTAGTCCGTGAGGCAGACACCCTGTCTACTTTTAAGGGTAGGCTTTAAACTTTCCTTTTTGATAAAGCTTATAGTTAGAGTGGCTCAGATTATCCTGCGCTATCTCTATAGTTATGCTGAAGTTTTTCCATAGTAGTTGTGTATTGGCGCTTCATAAATAATCTGAACTGAATTGAATGCACCAGAACGTTTCCAGGTTTGTATACTGCCAAATGGAGACAAACATACTTGCCAAATGGAATGTAATCTCAAAACTAAATTAATGATAAAAATTAAGTTTACTTACCACAGATTTTTTTATTAAAACTTTCCTAAATATAACATAAATGCAATCTTTTGGGTCCTCAGATTGATAATATTCACATGTCAATTTCCATAAGAAAAAAGAACTGGCAAACAGGGTATGCTAAGTATAACATATGACCCCAAACATTCATTGTAAATCAAAGTAAAACTGTACCTTTTACAACAAACTGTAAGAAAATTAATATGACAGCATTTTTAGAAAATGAAGATATAGTAATTGTTGCAATAGGGTAAGATTGTTCAAATTTTTATTGTTGCTGAATTAGGTGTGCAGCTATTTGATTAATGACTACCTTTGTTCGTCAAACTTCTGCTTATAGCTTTCAGCAAAATATGTACTATAATATGATAATGTGTGAAAGTATGTGTAGTTTTGTATGAAGTTCATAAATTGACACAGTATCTTTTGAAATGAACCAAAACTTAGATTATTATTTTATTCTGGTGTAACTTAGCAGCTACACAATTGTTCATGCCATGATGTGAAATTAAGTAACACTGATTGGTGTAAAAATAAGTAATTTGCAGTGAGAGACAAAAGCAATG